TCACATTCGAGTGCCCAGGGCCTAACTAACTCAGAGGCCCTGGGCATTTCAGCATTTGCTGAAATCCGAGACTCGGTGCACTCCAACCAACTGGCTTGCTGCAACTGTATGGACCCCACTTCGTGAAATGTTGGCACAGAGGGCTCTTGTTGATTTGCTGGCCCGCCTTCACTAAGGGCTGGCACGAGGCTTGCAGGGGCCTTAGCCCAGAACATGTACATCATGGCAAGGCCCCTACTTGAGGGCTCAATCCTCTCACTTGTTATACTCTCCCTTTATTGGGTCAAGCTGATAGTCATACATGTCTATCACTTGGATCCACCTTTTCAGTGCATCAGAGAGTACAGGCTGAGTCCTGATCAAGCGCAAAGTCTCATGGTCAGATCTCAAGTAGAAGAATGTGCCTAGGAGATAGTGTCTCCAATGGACCAGCGCTCTATAAAGGGCATAGAGCTCACGCTCGATGGGCCTAAATTTTTCCCCCTCCTTTTGCGCAAGGATCGCGCCTATGCCATATTGGCTGGCGTTTGTGGTCACTACAAATGGCTGCTCAAGATTTGGAAGTTTGACAAAACTTGCTTCACACTCTTCGGTCCACTGCCAAGGAGTGTCATGGGGGGTTAGGTTGGTTAACGGGGAAGCTATAGTACTACAGTTTTTGACAAACCGATAATAGTAGTCCGTCATCCCCAAAAACGACCGGACCTCAGTAACAGTTTGAGGTATGCGCCAATCACATATGCTGGGCACTTTGGCATCATCCGACCTCAACCCATCCGCAGAAATTTCATGCCCCAGGTACAAGATCTTGGTGCGATCGAACTCGCATTTCTCCGAGTTTACCTTGTACTGTTGCTGCCTTAGGAGACCTAGCACTATTTTCAAGTACTCAGCGTGCTCCTCTACAGTCTTACTAAAGATAAGGATATCGTCGAGGTACACGACGATAACCTTGTCTAAGTAATCATGAAAGATCCTACGCATCGCGTGCTGGAATATCCCAGGTGCATTGCAAAGGCTAAAGGGCATCACCACAAACTCGAATAGACCGTACTTGGTCTAAAAAGCCGTTTTGTGCTGGTCCTCATGTCTAATGGCAATTTGATGGTATCCGGATTTCTGATCTATCGTTGTGAAGTACCAACATCCCTGCACTCTATCCAATAGGTTGTCGATGCGGGGTAGGGGCTTCGTGTTGTCGAGTGCATCGGCCCTCGCGCAAGCGAGGGCCCTCCCGGCCATGTCACGCAGGAGTAAAACAAAACAAAATCAGAGACAAATTAGGACGATGCATAAATAATCCCGCGAGCCGCCGAGAGGGTGCGCGGTCGCATCATCCCTCGCGGCTCTGGCCGGGTGCGCCAGCAATACATCCCGCGGTCCCCTACGAAAGGATAGGTTCCCGCGCGGCATAAGCTACCCTCCCTAAGGGGTTGTCACCACCCTTAGGGGCGTATCCCTACCGAGCTACCGACCCACGTGCGAAAGCTTTTAGATGCAATTGCAGAGGTAGGTCAGCCGATGGCGTTTGCTCATTCGCCGTAGTATAGATACGTTTGGTTAACGCCAAGTGGACCCGAACGTCGTTCATTCCTTAGGGCGTTGATCTCCTAAGTATGAAGCGGACGCTGGTCGACTAGGATGGTCTCAACCAAGCGTGAAACCACAAAATTAATCCTAGTCCCTTAGATACACAATCAAAAGAAAGTTATAACAAACACACATAATTTTACCGAAGAGAGTCGACCGAAGTCGACAGGAACATGCCCAATCTGGAATGATAACTGAAAAAATCAGAATCATCACATAATACGTCCAACAACACGATATCAAAAAAACAATCCGACCATCCCCGGTTGAATTCCACAAAAACGATCATACAATTGCCAACGAGAAGTTGGCTACCGGTAATAACTTTGATGCCGCCGACAAGATAGTTAGACTGCCTTAGTTTTGACTGGATGAGACGCGCTGCCAAAGTTATTCATTCCAACTAACTCCGACCTATGATTAAACACGCATACGCATGTCTCCATACATTCTCAATCTTCCTGAATGACAGGTTGCTTCGCGGATGATTCTCAATCAGGTGCATGGCTTGAAGTGTTGCATGCCTCTCCTCTAGGAAGTGGTCTGTGGATACTCCTTCCCCTCGCCCGAGCCCGCAGACCCGGATCTCAGAGGTTGGGCCGTCACCACCGAGTCAGCAAAGTACCCCGCCCGACAAGTCGCCGACAAGTCGGGTACACTCCAAGTCGATAACAGGGCCGGCTCCGAAAGCATACGAACCCCCGCCTTGGATGCTTCCTAGAGAAAAAAAATGTGTTCACTGCAAGTTACTTTCAACTACTCTCAATTGTCCTCAGTTCAGGGTAACTTAGATGAGAAGAAATCGAATGAGATAGAGAATGAGAATTATTTTGACAGGTACAGGTAGATAAAATCATTTGGGATAGAATGCGTCAATGTTGGGAAAACTAAGCCCAATTGATTGCATCTTCATTATATTCACAAGTTTTCTTCCAGGTACCCGTTGAAATTATTCATTCCAAAATTCAAGTATTTTCGTCATGCAGGCGGGTGAAAGATAGAAAGAGGTCAATCCTTTTCTTCATCTCAAACAAGCATAATCAATCCTCTTTGCAAGCTTCCTTCTACCTACCTGCACACCACGTCAAACAACAAGATCAAGGAAAACCAATACAACCCCATACCCCAGTCAGACCTCACCTTTCACATGCATGACTCACACAACTTTCCTCTGCCTTTTCTTTTGAACATTCAAAACTACAAGGTCAAGCAAAGTGCGGGTTCACACAGGT